ACTTTTAGGTATGGGGGTGAACAGAGGAACAAATAAAAGTCTCAAGCAGAAATGGGGTGCTCAAGGCCTTTAGTTATGACCTATAAAACAATTTGGCACAGGCCAGCCAGCGTGGCTCAATAGCTGAGCATCAATCTAAGAACCAGGTGGTCAGGGTTCAATTCCCTGGTCGGGGCACATGCCCGCGTTGTGGGCTTGATCCCCAGTGTGGGGTGTGCAGGAGGCAGCCGATCCATGATTCTCTCTCATCACTGATGTTTCTCTCTCTCTCCCTTCCCCTTTGAAACCGATAAAAATATGTTTTTTTAAACTTTTGGCATAAACCCACTGCACGAATGTCCCCAAGGATGCCTAGTTCTTGAAAACTATAAAATCAATTAAAATGTATTTTTTTAAAAAAAACACTGCAAAATGCTTAAAGATGCATTTCCTTTGGAGTGAACTACAAACAGGTATTTACAAGAGTTGTAAAACTTGACATCAACATTTTTGGAGATTATCCTTTGAATTTAGTATTTAAATATATATTTTTTTCATCTAAAGGAGAATTTTAGAACTTTCGAAGGAATCAATTTCTCACCAAATCAGTATAACATAATCTTTTATTTTTCATTGCACACATCAGTATTTTACAGAAAATAAAGACCTCTTAATGTTAAATTCCAATTAATCACATCTTCTTCTGATTTTCAATGTACATGAATATAATCAGTAAATATAACTTATGTTCTAACACTTTGAGTCTCATTTAAACATTTTCCCATACAATTTTACATATATAAATATTATTTAATGTCTACATAACAGTTTTTGATAGCAATAGCAATACACAAAATCTTATTTATACATTTCCCAATTATTGGGCTTTAAAAAAACTCAAATGAATGGAATTACTAGAAATATCTTTAAACAATTAATCCTTTAATTTTATTTTCCTGGATATATACTTCTCAAAATGAGATCTATCAAAAGATATTGGTTATAGAGCTCTTATTATGTTTTTCTAAATAGTTCTTTTAAAATCTACTAATAGAATACTACTGGTATGTGGAACATGCAGTTGAAAACTTTTGCTACTAGCATGAACTAGTAGAAATTAGGTCAAAGTTGTTTCAATTTGCATTTTTAATACCAGGAAATCTGAATATCATCCTAAGAATTTATTTGTATTTTTTCATCTGTACCAATCCTTTCATTGAACTTGCCTGGTAGAGTAGAAAACCTTATGGATTTGCATCTCCCCTTTAAAAAATATTAAGCCCTTGATCCATATATAATGCAAGTAGCTTTTAAAAAACCCATCCTGTCTTCCCCTTCTATTTAGTATATTTTTCATTTACTTAATCTCATCTACCTGTCAGTAATGATTTTCATTGCCATCAAGTTTCCTTTGTACCATTACTGGGATGAGAAATGCAGTGTTTTTATTTTTATCTTGATATTTAACATTTTAATTCACCTGGAATTGTTACTATACAATCTGGATCTAATTTCTTTCCATACTAGCATCCAGTTAGTCTTTCCACCAGCACTTAGTATTTATTTCTTTCCAATTGGCTTATTAGTCTTAAACTTTCTACTCAGTACATAGTATATTTAGAAAGGTTGCTTAATAGCACGTTTTAAGAATTGGAAGTATGAGACTCCCATTTTTTCCCCTAACTTAAAAAAAATGAATCTTGGCTTGCTTATTTTCCTAAATAATTTATCACAATTCTGTCAAATTATAAGGCATCCACTAGGAGTGTGAAGTGGCAGATGGTAAAGCTACATATGAAAGCCACCTATTGCCATTCCTATGGACATTTCACATATAATCTAATCCTCAGAATAATGCTGCAAAGTAGCTATTTTATAGATGATGAAACAGAAGCCAGGAGTGATTTCTCCAAGATTATACCACTGGCAAGTAGTGAGGGGAGGACTGTAATTTTGGTTTTCGGACGCTCTATTCCTTCTTTTCCACTGCACTAGGGTGCAGTTCCTTCCACCTGCTTCTATATAAGCGTCGGTCTTAATTTATCCCAATATAGTTGTAGAATATTCCTTAAATGGTTCATATATATTAATATTCAAACTTTTTACATTTTAGTTCGTCACTGTTGGTATCTAGAAATGAGATTCGTTTTAAATGAATGCACATCCCGCATCTTCCTGAATTAGTCTTCTATTGTCAGTATGTTTATATGTTTCACTAGTTTCAAAGCCATGTTCCAGAAAATATTGGGCTGCTTTCTGTTGTCTCTCATTTTGTGAATGCTCATTACAAGCTCCTTAAATCATAGGTACATAAAAACTGTGTCAAGATTGTTTGATTTCTGCTTGAGAAATATTTCCTATAAATTGCCCCAATAGGGAAGATGTTAGTTCTTGATTTTATTTATCACACTATGAGAAACCAACAAAATCATTACCAGAGATAATTAAATCAAATATGCATGATAAATGTCCAGATTTTTAAAGTTATCTGTAGTTAATAGCTTGAATTTTTTACTAATTTGCTCTGTTATAATCCTGAGTCATAGTAACTAGTTGCAGGCATACCTCAGAGAATATTGTGGGATTGGTGATAAAGTGTAAATGACAACGAAGTGAAGTCACATGAATTTTTTTGGTTTCCCAGTGCATATAAAAGCTATGTTTACACTATGTTCACACTATTAAGTGTGAACAGCATCATGTCTACAAAAATACTTTATTGCTAAAAAAATGCAAGTCATAATCTTTTCACTGGTGGAGGGTCTTACTTTCGATTTATAAAAAAAAATCGCAACATCTACAAAGTGCCATAAAGCGAAGTACAATAAAATGAGGTATGCCTGTATTTTATTTGTTGTGTATTATTTGACAATATTTCGCATCTGTTCAGAATGAGACCCTTTTCAAGATGTTTGACTTTTGGTATGGAGGCCATATTTGCCTCAAAATGCAAATATCTTTCATGATACAGATATTTATTCTTTGAACATTTGAAAAACTACACCAATAAGTCCATTAGAGTAAGATTCCAAGTCATCCAAAAATTATACTATGTTATAATATTCCCTAACCTTTTAAGGCTTTGTATTGGTCATAACTTTTCTCATTTCTGATTTATTTTGCATTCCAGGAGAAAGTACTGTATTCATTGTTAGTTTTCAAAACCATCCTTATTTTGGACTAGTTTAACACTTCTCTTCTGTTTCCATTATGTTTGGCTCTACATTTTTTGCAACTTCTCACTGTTCCTTTTCACCAGTTCTTATGAATATTCTTATTGAAATTGAAAATTTTTTTTTCAATAGGTCTGGATTACCTTCACCTCCATCTTATTTATCATCTTAAATTCTTTTTCGTTTTAATGAGTAATTTTTACATCTATTTCAGGTATTTTGGCTGGATTTAAACTTTAGGATCCACCCAATATCACTTTGCTATATTCAAAAACCATATAAAACCAATTTATGACTTCTCTACGTTCAGAAAGGCATAAATGACTTCATCTTTCTTGTTTCGTTTTCCGCACATAGAACAGCAACAAAAGACTACTCAGAACACCTTTTGGCTTAGTACATCTGTTTTCTCATGACATGGTGTTCAGATCAAAAGATACATGATAAGAAAGCATTCTTTTGTTAAAACTTAGCCAGATTCTGTCTCAATGAGGTCCGCAGCTCTCAGCTATCTTTATTTTTACTCCTAATCTTCCCATTTCTCCAATTCGGTAATGAGCGGAGACCAATTTCTGTCTCCTTTCCTTCACCAGCAACAACAGACTGACTTCCAGGGGCATTTTCCCTCCTCCTCTGGAATCCGCATTCTTCTACGTTAATGTTCATGGAAGGATTTTGAAATCACGAAAGCCTGGATCCCAATGCAGGCTCTTTACCTACCAGACTCGGAGAAAAGGATGAACGAAGTCTTGCTTTCTGCTTTGAAAATGTATTCAACACCTGCCTCTCAGGGTTGAGGAGCCGTAATGAGAGAGCATGGTAAGTGGCCAGCACACAGTCAAGGCCATTTCCGGAACAGAAACTCTCCTGATGGCCTCTCTCCCTACAGGAAGCTCATTCTCACTGAGGGATGCAAAGGGGACTGGAAGGGAGAGGTTCACCTCTTCTTACGGTTCCACAGCTGGACCGCATCACTGGACTAAGAGCTTTTCGACTCCTGGTGGGCCTGGGAAACTGTGTATTTCTATGCCCTACACAGATACCAGCCGAGAGGCAGAGCGACGATGAAGGTGGTTCTGTATTTGTGGGGTGGGACACACCAAGGGGATGTGGGAAGTCCTGCTTAGATTCACTCCTGTCAGCTGCAGTTCATGCTGCGAATTATAATGCTCGAGCCAACGAGGAGGAATGCTCACCCTCACTGAGAAGGCGGGGCAAGGGAAGCCCGGGTTCAAATGGACTCACTTGGTTCCTCCTTGGGGATTTGAAAACAGTCCTTCTGAAGTATCTGGTTCCTAGTCATTTGTTTTTTATTTTTGCCTGAGTGACTGGTTGGAAATTCTTCTTTTCGGTGCCAGGGTTCTACAGACATTTTCTGAAATATTGAATCAGAATGAATCTTCTCCCCTACATTTTCTCTGATGGAACCTCCCAAGAATGAGCTCTTCAACAAGTAACTGGACTTTCTGGCTCTTGTTCTAATGTTAGAAGATTGTGGTGGTGATGTTGCCTTCTGGGTTACAACGGTGGCTTAGGAGAACTCAACAGTGAGACATTTGTAAACATCAGACCTTCACAAATAAAGGATCATGCAAAGCTAGTCTTTTAATTAGACAATTTTATATTGGCACTTGCATTAGTTGCTATTGCTACCATAAATTTTTATATTATATACAAAAGACCCACATAATTTACTGTGTGTTTTACTCAGAGGTGGTAGCAACTATCTTAGCTGCAAAGTAAAATACCCTTTAGACACTGTCATTGTAGACAAGAATAAAATCTGAAAGTCATTAGCAGATACAACATAATCCTCCTTAAAGCACAGTTGCTAATATGGAACCCTCACCTATACACCCAATACTAAAATAAAGCTAACGCTGTTTAAGATTCTGGAGCACGGAGTACATTCTGAAACAAACAAAAAACAGTTCAATAACTAATGAATCAGTAACTGACAGGTTAACAGACATCCAGTGACTAATGGCACTCATCACATAACCACTTCTAATTACTCAGGAAGCTGTCCTTTAAATGAGAATATTCGGATGCTAGGATGAAGGCCCACAGTAGCATTTCCAGCCTCCTTTTCTTTTTTCCTAATTTTGAAGATGCTGTCCTGGGCTGTCTAAGTTTTGGCTTCCTTCGGAGGATTCTAGTTTGGCCACGATGAGAGTATTGGTCCCAGGAGCCTCTGGTTGCTTGTCATCCCCATCGAAGATAATGTCTTCTGGATTGGGCGGTGGGGGGCAGAAGTCTTCTCCTGGGAAGATCTGCTGGAAAAGGGTTTCAGCGAGCTTGACTGCGTGCTCGTTTCCTAGTCCACAGTCAGGCCCGGAGCAGACGTACACATTGGAAGGTAAGCCATGGTAAGAGCTTCTGCTGACCCCTGAGGAGTCCCTCATGTTAAAATAAAGAGCCCACAAGAGCCGCGGCTTCGGAGGGTCCCCCTCGTCTATTTCTGTCTCCGCGTAGGGGGTGAACAATTCCTGCACCACTGGTTCTAAGTCTTCTCTTGCTGTGCTGGCGGATGAGCAGGTCAGATGCACCAGGTAGGTGTCTTTCATGCACGTCATGGTGGAAGAACATAACTCAGCGACCCGAACGGCACGCGCGCCTGGTTCCGCCGGAGGGACTGTCAACATGGTGATCTGCTGGTCAGAATCTGCCTTGAGCACGGACTGGTCCGTGATGAGCACAGCCCTAGAGATCTGCTCATACTGCACGCCTGCACAGGTGTCCTCGGAAAGGTAGCTGTCCTCCACTATGAAATACTTCGCACTGATTCTCTGACCAAAATGATCTATCACTGCTTCACACCTTCCAGATTCCTTGTCAACCACAAGGCACTGCACTCTGTGGCGAAGACAATAGATTCCACCAAAAACAGCACACATCCTGCAGAAACACTGGGGGATTTCCCCTTGGCCGTACAAGGGGAATAAGAAGGGAGTGTTGCCGTACCGTCCAAGACACTGAAGGAAGTGCTTTGTTGCTTTAAGGCCGTCGACTGTCAAGCAGGATGGCTCTGTCATTGCGATCGAGTGTAGTATAAAGTGCTGGAGATTGGGGGTTAACTTTTGAGTCTTTAAGTACTCGGAAAAGGGGCGCTGTGTGAAATCCTGGTATTCCCCAGGATGCTGTTCATAGTCTAAGCAAAATGTCAGAAACTTCATCAGCATCCTCTTTTCTACCATGGTGAGCTCTTTGCTGTTAAAGACATCTGCTCGGGAACACGGCACCTGTTCTACTTTCCCCTCTCGAAATGCGAGAATCCTGGTGACATTTTTAAATTCAGCGTAGCGACTAACATTGGATTTGATCAAAAGATCGATCAGGGAGCCTTGAGAATACAGCAGCTTTGAGACCAAGTCGATATTAAACCTCCTGCCTTCTTTAACTATCTGAGAGTAAGTAATCCTATTTCTCTTTGGTTGACCGGCGTTGTCTTCTACCACAGGTTTATTTTCATCCTTAGCTCCGTCTGAAACTGTGTGTATACAAGTTTTCTCTCCACAATCCTTTTCTTTCACCTCAGTTTCCTCTCTATCGGTTACTTCTGGTAAAATTTCTCCATCGTGTTGCGGAGTGTCTTTGGCAGGCATTTCGGGGCTAGTACTGTCTGAGTGTGTTTCTTCGGACAGACATGCAGCATCCAGAGGTTTGGTGAGGGTACTAGACGCTACCAAGGAAGGATTTTTCTGCAAAGCATCAATCTCTTCAGCACTGTCACCCGTGTCCTCGCTGGCGTAACAGAACACTTCTACGTGTCGAATGGTGTCATCCTTCCCACGCAGAGCGATGGCTTCCTCTGTGTCCTGGATCAGGTTTTGCCAGGCAGCCGTGCTTTTGTCCCCAGCCTCACTGTCCTGCTCACACTCCTTCAACCAGGAGAGCAATCCTGAAAAGGTGAAACTAGCCCAGTTTCCTCCATAGTAACTTCTCGAATCAACATGTAGCACTCTCTGCCCACTTCTTGCACATGCAGCCGCAAGGATGGATTCAGGCAAACCTGTCCCTATGATAATTACATCAAACTCTGTAGGGAGACTGTCCGCCATCCTGGGAGATTAAGTGGTGACAAGTGCCAATGAAGGAAATGAGTATGAATCCAGAGGGCTCAGATGAGGTGTGAATGGGCTGAGATAAAATCTCTCCTTGTGAAGTCCCAGGTCATCTCAGAAGTATCCAGGTCGCAGGTCCTAGATGTCTGTTACCCTTTTTAATTTTTTTCTAGGTCAGTAGCATAAAAACATGATAAAGTACATCTAATCACATCTGAGAGTACTAACACGGACGTGTGGCTTCCATTTCTGCATTTCATCTTAGCAGTACGTGTCAAAGTGCATCACACATGCATTTGTGACTGGAACTCTTCTGTGCAAGAAAATTCAAGAAATACAAGTGTAAACAATATTAAGAGGAAAGTAATTTCATGCAACAGTCATTACAATCCAGTGGAGCCTGACTTGTTATCAGGACACAGGCCTCTACTAAAGCAAGTCATTAAATGCTTTCTCACATATATTCTAATTTCTTGGAAATGAACAATAGATATATATTCCCCCGAATCAGAAAATTCAATAATGAAGAATGGGTTTAATAATGTCCCACAAAATAAAGAATGAACAAAATACAATTCTATAATGCCTGTTTTTAAAGACAACTAGTATTTGAATGAAACTATACACGACTGTGAGCTTAGACTGTGAAATGTGTGCTCCACTGTGTTTATGGAAACAGACCATATAAGATGAGCACATTGCCACAAGAAATATTCCCAGGCCCAATACAGTGTGTGGGCGAGTCTAGGACAGCTGGACAGGGACTTTTCCATACCCACCCACCCTCAAAGTCTCATGGTGGAAACATGAGACTATTTCAACCAAATCAACCAGATTGTTATAAAAGCATTGATTCAGTAAAACACCTGGCATTCTAAAATATTTAAGTGCAAAAAGAGTAAGTCTACTGAAGGGAAAAAGTATTCATAACAAATCTTTACATGAATGTACATATGCATGTGTGTTTTTTTAGGAGTAAGTTAAGAAGGAAAATTCCTGGGCGCATATGTTAAAATATATTAACATAAATAACACTTCTAACATTGGAATAGGTGCATTTTCAAGGGCCAAGATTCAATGGTGAAAGGACAGCTTTTTCAATAAATGGTACTGGAAAAACTGGATATCCATATGCATATATATAAAAATTAATTCAAAGTAGATCAAACCTATGCTACAAACAGCGGATCTGTCTTTATCAAAGTATACCAATATTTTCCTGGAGTAGTAACCTCTATAAAATTTCTAAGACAAAGAATTTATACATTTTTAATTGAGGTAAGCAATGTGAAGTCTCCCGCCAAAACTCCTCATATTGTATTCTAACAGAGCTAGAGAGAGCCTGTATTTTCCCTCATCTTTGCCAGAACAATTTTCCCCAGCCTGCGTTCCATGCACAGCTGTGCGTGAATACTGTTTCAGCCAAAGGCATGAAGGCAGAACCGTGATGGATGTGGCCGTGGTCAGTGGTGGATAGGGAAGGAGAAACAGGACTGTCTCCCAGCTGCCAGCGAGGGAGAACCTGCAGACCAGAGGGGTGTCCTAAGGGCACTCCCTGGACCTGGCTGTGCACAGCACCCCGGCCCCGGCCCCACACCACTCACCTGGATCTGATTCAGGGGAGCAGCTGCCGGCTTCCCCCAAGTCGACGTGCGCCCATCCTACGAGGAATTGTTAAAGGGGCCGGTTCATCAGACAGTAAAGGCAATGCCGCAGGTGGGGTTCCCTCCGACAACAGCCCTCCAAGCGCCCTCGAGTCACGCCCCCGCCGTGGAGCGCCCAGTGTGAGCTGAGCAGGCCAAGGGCGAAATGCCTCAGGGACCCACGGAGCTGGGAAAACAGCGTCAGCGGCCTCGGTGACCAGCCAGCCACCTAGTTACCGGGGGACCAGCACCGCCTAGCTCTGCACAGAAAGCTCCAGGGCTCCCAGTCTTGCAAAACCGGTAAAAGCCACCGGAGAAAGCGGGTGGGAAGGGATCCCGGGCTGATGGAGGCTGCACAGCGGCCGCACAGATGTGCCAGCGGGCGGGACGGCCAGGACCGCGGGGCGGGCCTCCACGCCAGCCGGTAGCCAGTGGTTATGGGAAGCGGCGCAGGGCAAGCACTGTCCCCGGTGCAGCCCCGATCTCCGCGCCGCGGCCACTGAGCAGGAAGCGCCCCTCCCTCCCTGCAGCGCCGGCAAACACACAAGCAGACGCACCAGCCAGTAATTCAGCCCGAGGGCGTCCCGTGCAGCGTCTGGGACATACGTAGCCGGACAGCTATCCCCTGTCGGTCTGAAAATGTCTGAAATCCCAACGCAACCACTGGGGGAGGGAGTGTCCAAGCGGACGCGACTGCAGTGTTTTCCATCTGAGTTCCAGGACCCTCAGGCGCTCAGGGCCCCATCCGATCCGCACCCTTTGGGGGCCCGGCTGGATGGGATTGGGGCCCAGGTGGCGCCGCAGGGAAGAGGCGCCAGGTCTCCCCCTCGCTGAGCCCGCCCTG